GCAAGGATGCTGAGTTAGTTACACAGCAACTCACATCAGTCATTGGTTTGAGAGTTCCTCAGGTGTTTTAGTTTCTTGATTCTAACAGCCTGTCTTGTGGAAAGATAGAAAAATTCAGCCTTTAAGTATCATTGCTCCTTTAGTCGGGCCAGTCTGAACTGCAAAGTAAGCATTAGTGCAGTCACTGACAATATCTGTAGTGATGCCCCTCCGTGTCTCCCACTGAGATCTACCCGTTCCCTATATTAAGTTCTCTGATTTCTCTCATTGATTTGTGAGGTGATAGTTGGCTATAACTGCTTTTAAAAAAAAGTTTACTTACATGAGTTGGTGGGACAAGCCAGAGTACTCATTACTATAGTTATTTCTGAGTCCAGAAGTGATATTCAGCACTATATTCCTCTATCACCTGGACAATCTTTCCCTCTCTGTTCACCATACTGTCAGCTGACTTATGTTTTTTTGCTCAGTGGAGCCACTCAAACCTTCATCATGAAAGAATTGAATCTGTGGTCACCATCCCCTCAAAAGACTGTCATTACTGCACCCTCTTGCAGACGGCTGTAATCTGTTCTGAAAGCATCAACATGTGCTGTGACAAATGCCCTGGGTTACAGGTACTCCTCCCTGACACCTTATATAACAGCAACCCCAGACCCTCATGATAGTTAGGGTTAGTCACTTTTGCCAGTATAGTCGCTCTGTTCTTTGCCTGATAAACTCCTGGAAGTGGGCAGCCAGAAATGACCCCAAGGCAGCTGTAATTTTAGGTATTATTGGATCCTAAATGGTCACCTTGTAGAGGTGCATATACTCCACTCATCATGGAAACCAGGATCTCCACTCTTAAGAGTCAGTAGGGTGACTGGGATAACAAGGCAAACTCCTCCAGCAGATCATCAGGTGCCTTTGTGAGAAGATCCCTTCTACTTTCATGCCTGCGTTCCTAGACCCATGTAGTTTATCTACTGGTATGAAAAATTTGATCTTGACTCAGAGTAAATGTCAGATTTTGAAGGTCAGTATCCTAACACCACTGGATATTCTCCCCAGTGCTCTGCTCATGTCGTAGCTTCTGCCTGATGCACACATGGTAGGATGAACGAATCCCAAGATCGTATGATCCCGGAGCAGCAGCCCTGTCCAGATCACAGTCTGCACCTCCTGCAGAGCCTCCTCTTGACTTGAGCTTTTACAGCTGAGTCAGGAGTCAGGACACTGCACTGTGATAGCCAAGACTTTTTAAAAAACTTTCTGTTGGAGTGTGAATACTTGCCCCAAAACTTCAGAAGTTATAAATGAGCTACTTAATGAATTTTTATAAACACACCCACATAGAGCTTCTTCACAAGATTCTATTAAAATAATTTGTTAGCTTCATAAGCAAATAATGGCTGAGCTGCATTACTTTTTGGAGTTTGAAATTCTTTAAGCCAATCCATGTCCCAGAAATATAGCACTCATCAGAGTATAATCCTAAGACAATCCAGCCATAAATTCATTTTGCCTTTTGATTCAAAATATATGAGTTGTGTTGGACTTAGAAATTTTTGTTCTCATCTCTGTATCATAGTGGAATTCCACATGTACATATTTGATACATTATATATGTATATATATATTTCCCTTTCTGTCATTTTTGAGCCTAATCTCACATTCACAGCTCCACCAGCTCAGAGGATGAGAGAACATATGCTTCTCCATATGCCCGACACAGACTCCTCAATGCATTTATTACTCAGAGCTCAGTGATTGAGGAATGTTTGTACTATTTTATTTTTCCTCACAGTGAGTCATTCTACTGTACATTTCAAAATTGTGATGAGTTGAAAGATCCAAGAATTGAGGTACATTTCAACAAACAGCTTCCCATCTGGTAAAGGAAAGATTTTATTTATAACCAGGTATTCAGATATAGGAAAATGAAATGACATTCAAACTATTTTGTTTTATTATATGACTAACAGGCTGAGTGAAAACACTAACCGCCTTCAATCCATTCTCCACAACTGGATCAGGAAACTCCTCTCTTACACTTTTTATTTTTATTTTTATTTTTATTTTTTTTTAATTTTTTTTTTCTCCAGTACTGGGAACCGAACTCACGACCTTGCGCATGCCAGACAGGTGCTTTTGCTGCTGAGCTAAATCCCCAGCCCCTTCTTACACTTTTTAATAGGTGTAAAATTCTTACCTTTGGACCACAAGGCCCTCCATGTTCTGGGTCTGTGTTCTGACCCCTTCTGACTTTCTCTCACAGATCTCTCCCTATGCATTCCAGTCAAACTGTATCTTTCAGTAGTATCCTTGCATCATCACTCAATTTGAACACAATATGTAGATAGGAAGTGTTCAAAAGGCAAGTCAGTTTTAATACACTGAACACCAACTGATTGTTTTTCATCTACTACATACCAGGAGATCTTCTAGACATCAGCACTTGGGGTTTAGGATGGAAGCAGGATGGTTATTTTGCCTTTTGATACCATATTTGAAATCCCTGCAAAAGCTAGAGCAATCTGGGAAAGTAATTATCCTGGGATGCTCAGAGATAGTGGATTAAGCTAAGCATTAAATGAATCCCCTCTTCTCTCTTCACCACCCACTCAGGCCAGTAGTTTCCCTGCCAGTAGTTTCCCTACCTGACACCGCCCACCAAAGTGCTCAAGCAGTTATCCTGACTCTTCTTTTCTCAGAACCTCACATGAGTTAGGATTGGTCCAAGGTTCAAGCACAGGCTGAGGAGTTTTTGTGCATCATAAGGTTGGGAAATGTTTCTAATGCCAAGCCAAGGGGAAGATACTTCTTCATTTTTTTATGGAAAGAAGGTAAAACAGAATTTCATGACACAATAATAGGAGAATAACAAGAGCTAATACATTACACATTGTCATCTTCAAAGTAGTTACTCGGAGTACAAGATATGGGCATAAAAATTCTCCAATTGATATTAGCATGAACCTTTTCAGTGAACTAAGAGACACTAATTATAGCTAACTTACATTTTTCTTCCTTTTCCCTTTCCCTGCTTCGTTTTATATCTTCGAATCCTCTCATTGAAAAAAATAGCCTTTCAGCAAAGCATCTTTTTAAAAGAGTATGCCTGCCCATTTATAAATAAGCAAGTCAATCAGCTAATATTCATGCACCTTTTAAATGTGCTTAGTTCAGTGGTAGGAGCTTTAGGGGAGGTCCTCAAATCTGGGTGGGGAGGTAAAGCTTTGATGAAGTTTTTAAAAACTGAAAGGTTTGTGCCTGCCGTGAGTGCTTTAATTCAGAATAAAGGCCACTGTCTCTCAGGGTAAGTGGAAATTTAGCTTCCAGCCAAGGATTGGGTGAGATTAAAGTAACAAGTCTTGGGTGCTCATTGGATAAGTGGTGTGTTAGTTACAACAGGCTGCTGTAACAAATATATCATAGGCTAATGGTTTGAAAAAGAGACATTTCTTTCTTACAGTTCTGGAGGGCTGGCAGTCCAACATGAGGGGTACCAACATAGTCTGGGTCTGGTGAGGATCTTCTTCCAGGTTGCCAACAACCAACTTATTGTGTCTTCGTGGTAGGAAAAGGGCAAGTTGGCTCTCTGGTCTCTTCTTGTAGGGACACTAATCCCATTCATAGGGCTCCACCCTCATCACACAGTTACCTCCCAACCATCTCCAGACACCATCACATGGGGATTAGGTTTGGATTCCATTGTAGGTAGCAACCAAGGCTGAGTTGGGTGCAAAGGCACAGAAACAGAAAAGATAGTGCTAACTAGTTCTGTTTATGCTGTGTGTTTTCCAGAAAGCACTGCCCACACCAGTGTGTTCTAAACCTCAGCATACAGAGGGTCTGTTCATTTCTGGAATTTACTTCCATGATTCTGATGGGATGAGGCTCTAGAATCTGCATTTCTAGCAAGTTCTCAGATGATGCTGCTGCTTCTGGTCTGGAAATCTTGGAAAATCAGAGCTCTAGACAGTGCTGGCAACTGGATGGCTCATTACTTAGTTTCCTCCCCTAAAAATAATGTTGCAAATGGACTTTTTCTGTGATACCTTTGCTCTGATTTAAACATGTGGTTGTCCTGTTCACACCTCTGCACCTCCCAGTCACGTCTTTCCTTCCCAGGGCTGCTCTAGTCCCACTATCCTTGTGGCTGCGACCACCAGTGAGTGAGTGGTTGACCATTTCCTGCCTTTGTTTTGTTGCAAATTAATTCCCCATCTTGTGACCTTTAGACAATCTAAACTGTGAGATGTTAAAAAGAAAAAGCAAATAATTTTATCAGTTTGTAATTCCTACTTTACTTTCTGATTTCCTGCCAATGCATTGGTAAATGACAGTGGTGATATGGGGGTATTTGATTTCAATTTTCTGTTCTACACTGATGATAGTTTTGTGAAAACCTTATTTATCTTGAAATTATTTTTTTCTTGATCAGATGATTGCCCAGATAGGCAGCAGTATGACTGTTAGTAGTAGCAGTTCTGAGTTAAGGCATTATCTGTTAAATAATTAGATTGCAGTTGACTCTTGTCAGAAGTTTTGAATTCCTTTAGTCTCAGCACTCATCACTGTATATGGAAAATTATGAAGTATCCAAAACCCACTGAAACTTTTTTCCATGGAGAGCAAAGGGAGTGAATAGTACAAGGTAGGCACACAGGTATTTCATGAATGAACAAATGAACACATTTGAAATAAATTCATAAATGATTTTTCTCTTCTCCATGAAAGTAAAATAGACATAGGTCTATGGAATATAGGCCTGGTTATTCTGTGTCAATTTTAAATTTGGCAGGCTACCAAATGTTAATTTGCTTTTAGCTGGTTGAGATTAAATGTAATTCCTTCCCTGAGCAACCCTAAAGTAAGTAAGCATGGAAGCATTTTCAGAGTAATCTGGGAGGAATTGACATTTAACAGAGTTAGCATTACATCTGTACTTTAAGGCTATTAATTTCATAGATAAATTAACTTCATTACTCCATCTTTATCTTGCATTTTGAAAGGACTCCATCCGCTGGAGAACTGAAAGCTGAGGGTCAATTGAAACTGCTGTTATCCCAGCCAGGTTGTAACTGGAATCTCCTTCTGGAAACCCTACTGTGTAATGACGGACTTTTACCAAGAATCTTGTTGAAGAGCTCAAGTGAGTATTTGTACTTACAAGAATGTCCTCAAAAAACCCAGTCATTGTTCTAGTTCAATGAAACTTTTTTCCTACTCAAATATTGGCAGAAAGATGTACACCAACTGCATGTATCAACAATCCATAGGATCAGCAACAGGCAAACTATTGCACTGCTTTGCCAACCTATCTGAACTAAGTTTTTTCAGGGATTTTGAAAGGAAACAGTATTTTTGTATGACACTGTTCTGTCACAACCACCCTTATACAGAAATGTATCAATATTCAAGGTTTGCAATGCCTAAGAAAATGAGAGGAATGGCAGTTGTATTTCCAAAGCACAAGCCTGAACTAGAGAGTAGAGAGATAGGAAGGACTGCATTACAGCCCCATTAGAAATATCGGTGTATCTTAAAGTGTGTTTGTGCAACTTTTAAATGAGCAAGCTGTGACTACACTGGGACACAGAGAAATTATGAATGAAAACTGAGGAGTAATGGAAGGCTGCACCATTAGACTTGTTTTCTTTCCCTGTCAATGCCACTTTAGAACATGGTAAAAAATGTTATGCCAGTGCATGACACTCACTGCCCTCCTCCTTCACCCATGAAGGATCACCTAACCATTTCTCAGTTTCCATAATGCACCTGAATCCAGATTCATCTTATCAGTAGCTTTGCTTTGGTTTTCCTGAATCAAAATTGTTTCCTCTAGGTCCCCATCAGTTGGAAGACCATATTCAGATTCTTTATTTAGCCATTCAATGTGAATTCAGACTGGTTTGCTAACCGTTGGCCCAGTACCCTTTGCACACACACCCCCCACATACTCCCACTGCTCCAGTCATTGTCGCCTAAGCCCACGCAAGGCTCCCCCAACACCTTACTTGTCAGTCCTTCCCACTGTAAAGACCTTCCCCGATAACTTGGCCTCCACCAGTCTGCAGGGGCCGGTTAGTGTTCCAGATGGACAGCGCTCTATTTCACACTGACTTCTTCCTCCTGTGAACTTCCCAGGGCCCTGTACCTTATTTGCACTTAGCAAGCTCTGCCTGTTTTGCTTATATTTGAATATAAATAAGACATATGTCCTCAGGCCCATCCAGCCTGTTGATACACAAAATGGGGTTTACAGCCTTCCCCTGTCCCAGATGCTCCAGTCATAATCTTTGGTTTCTCACACCTGCTTAGGGCCCGTTTCCCATTTTAGACACCTTGGGTTTGTTTCCTAAGAGTCACTTAGGGTAAGTACCTCTTGGGTAAATATTGTGTCTTCCCCGGTGCTCTAAAAGCCATAAAATCATGTAGTGCAAGAGGTCACCCGAACTCCCCAGGCCTCCTTTTACTGAAGCAGAGGCTCCTCAGTCCCCAAGTGGTACTATTTCGACCTCAAATCTCACACAGTTCACCTGAAAGCCGTTTCTTTGGCTTCAGGTTATACCTATATCCTCCTAACTGGAAACCGGAGCTACTATTTCCTGGAGTGAAAACATTTTGGGTACTTACTAGGTACTAGGCACTTTACATTTATGCTGTAATTTGATTCTTCATATATCTTATAAACTACATGCAATTGTTTTCTTCATGTTAAAAATAAAGACACTGGAGTTTAAGATAAATACAGTTGGCCTTCTGTATCTGCAGATTGCACATCCATGGATTCAACCAACCACAGATGGAAAATACTGTATTTGGAGAAAAAATTGCCTCTGTGTTCAACATGTACAGACTTTCTCTCTTGCCATTATTCTTTAAGCAATAAGTACAGCAACTGTTTGCATAGCATTTACATTGGTATTGGCTATTATAAGTAATCTAGAGATGATTTAATATATATAGGAAGATGTGTACAGGGTATATGCAAGTACTACACCATTTTATATAAGGGATGTAAGCAGCCATAGATTTTACCCTCTGAGCTTTCAGGAAGAATAGCTGCATGATATGGATAGCATCTGACATGGCTGAGAGAATTATTCTGATATAATCATTACAACTCACAGGCATAGTCCTGAAAGAGAAATTGTCTACTATTGACAGAGTTATGTAGAGCAGCCTGGGAAATCAATTAAGCTCAAGTCTTTCAACTATACTGATTTAACCGCTAAGGACAGGAAGGACAATTATTCCCATAAATATTAAACTATGTTTCTTTACAAATGAATCCCACTTAGCAAAAGTATAATGTACACCCTCTGGTATGTGTAATATGATGCTGCTTTGAAGAAACTTACTGTCATGAAGCATGCCACAGGGTAAGCCTTCAGTTATGGTTCTTAAGGAATACAGCAATGTATTTAGCTAACCTGCTGAAATAGTCATCACTTGTTATAAGGGCTATTAGGTTTTGCAGTAGCTCTAGTATTTTTCTGTATTGAATTTTACACGCTACTTTAAATACCATGATGATGAAGTGATAGAATTTACTAATCAATTGATTGACCAATGATTAAACTCCAGTAAAATTCTTGTCACTTTAAGTTTAAAACAATATACTCAGGGAACCTTATCAAATATACTGAGATGGAAATTACTGTGGACATAAAAATAAATTTATAATACTTTTGCAGAAATTTTCTTTTCATTTCATTTGAAAGCCTCACAGTATTTTAGAATTCCACTTAGCAATTTAAAATTTTAATTATATTTTTAGGAAAGCAAAATGAGAGTTAAAACGTTGTGAATTAGAAATTTTAAGCAACATAATTGTCAGCTTTTTCTGAGGGAGTTTTTCTTTATAAAGAATGCATTTTTATACCACTAATAAAATTTAATTTTGTGCTGAAGTGTCTGAGGAATAAGAGTACAAATAGTAAATATGTATTTTCTTATATATTTTTTAAACAAAAAAGTTCAATGAGCAATTATTTAATTGTTAGGTAGAGGATTTTCCTTGATAAACAACCATGTAATAGAAAGTTGAAAACTATCTCATAAATTAGAGCGATGTCTTTAGCTTTTGGTTTTGCTCTTGAAAATGATTTATCAGAATTTTTATTTGGGAAGGGGGTGGGGATTTAGCTCAGCGGCACAGTGCCTGCTTGGCAAGCGCAAGGTCATGAGTTCGATTCCCGTTACTGGAAAAAAAACAAAAAAAGAACACATAAGGGAATGGCTTCCCTTCCCTAGGATCAGAAAAACAGCAAATTGAAATTTTAAATGGTAAAATTTTAACGTATGTTATATGCTTCCTAGGCTTCATGCTTCTCCAAGGTCGAGTCATGCTTTTCGGGGATATCAATTCCTCTTCTGTCAGAGTATGTAGCACTTTGAGAGAATGATTACATCGTTAAAACTTGAGAAAGATTACACTGATTTTAGTGGCTTTGATGGTAGGTGCCTTTAACACTCTTCAGGTTCAGGTGAATTGACATGTGAAGAGAAAGCTTGTTGGTTTTAACTCAAGCTATCTTGACTCCGAAGGGAAAACAGCTCATAACTACAAATGTTTATAGAAGACTTTTAAAGTGTAAGATGTTATTTTCGATACTGACTTTAAGGATTTAGGGCAGTCATTTTAATTACCTTGCTGAGTCCCCTGGTCTTACAGGTAGCTTACATGTGGCGTCAAAGGAATAAATATTTGGCAATTTCCCCGTTGCCATCAGGTGACCTTTCCTGCTAGTGATATTTGAATGAAGTGTGACTAACATGCTTTCCTTTGCCTGTTGCCTGGAGAATGACTCCCAGTGAAACATCCTGGCTTCTGGTGATATTCACCTATAACATAACAACAGCAAACCAGCAAATACATAATATTTAACATGTTCCAGACATTGTTTTTAAGTGGTTTCAATGTGTTCACTCACTAAATCCCTCTAACAGTTTTGTGTGATCAGTGTATCTTCACTCAGCAGATGAGGAAACTGGGACATGGAGAAATCCAAGTCGCACACCTAGTTAGTGGCAAAGCAGCACTGGATCCAGGCAGCTGGCTTCCACGTGCTTCCACCCTTGACCCACATGGCCACCACACATAGCCACAGAACGGTCACCAAGGAGGTGTACTGCACAATGCAGGGAGAGATTCCGAACCTTAGCAGTGGTTACTTTTGGCAGTGCATTGTGTGCTTTTGAACCTTGTTAAAAAGTGCTTAATGATAACCGAGGATTGGATATAGAGAAAATTTAACAAAGGTCTGCTACCGCTACCAAGTGACGGTTGACTTAAGATGAGTGGGTCAATTTGATTTCTCTTATCTTGTAGTCACATTTTTCAATCTTTTAGGTAATACAAGGTATAGTATGGCAGAAGAGTGTTCTGTGTGTATGTAGATGGATCAAAATGCCATTTCATGACTGCTTTAAAAGAGGTGACCTCAACAGAAATATGCTCCTTCTTGGTAATCTTTGCTCACCTAACACTGGTACTATGCACTGTTTTTGTAGTAATGACATCTACACTACAGCACTCAGATTTGTTTGATGTTTTTTTTCTTCACTAGACTTAAACCCTGTTCTAATTAGATATAGTAGAGCCATGTTTATGTGTTTTTGCCCTGGTTGTTTTCAACCCAGGAGCCTGTCCAAGAATGACGCTGGGCTAGCCTGGAGATATCAGTGAGCTCCACTGAAGATTGCAGTCCCAGCAACAGCTATCATTAGGCGGTCCTTGGAGTCTCCGTGGGGTGGGGTGGTGGTGGCACACTGGGGTGAGTGGTGGAGTATGACTGTGTCCAACAAGGCTTCTTCTAAATTGAGACGTGTCCCCAGGGATCTGGTTAAAACTGCAATTCTGGTTGAGGCTGGGCTGGGGCTTGAGATCCTGCATTTCCAACAGGAGTCTCACTACAGCTGTGGGTCTTTGGACAACTTTCTTGAGTAACAAGGATACTGAACAAAATGGGGCTAGAGAAGGCAAGAGAATTTGAGTATAAAACAGTTTGTCCTTCTATTATAGGCTTAGAAGGAGATATGATTCTAGAATATTGATAAACTATTTCATCAGGAAGCCCATAGCAATCAGCAGGAATAATCTTATTCAAATACAGACCTGATTATGTCACTCTCCAAAAACCTCAA